CATGCAGGCCTGCACACAAGGCCTTAAGGCAGCATCTCTGTCAAAGCCTTACGACAGGAGCCTATGTCTGAAGCGAGGGTCCCCCGGTTAGCAAGGCCTTCTCTGCTGCACCCACCTGTTTCTACCAGAGGCGGCCTGCTGTACGCAGCATGCAGGCCTGCACACAAGGCCTTAAGGCAGCATCTCTGTCAAAGCCTTACGACAGGAGCCTATGTCTGAAGCGAGGGTCCCCCGGTTAGCAAGGCCTTCTCTGCTGCACCCACCTGTTTCTACCAGAGGCGGCCTGCTGTACGCAGCATGCAGGCCTGCACACAAGGCCACGTTGAGAACATGTATTTTCATAGGTGGTGGGGGTCAAACATGTACGGTCCCTCCACAGGCTGGCACACTTTCCCAAATAGTGCCTTCCATCTTCTGCTCTAATTTGGTGTGAATTATTGCCATGTCCTGTCATTTAAAAAAAATTCTGCATATGGCTGTGAGCCCCAGGCTGCCCCCGCTACTCGCCTCCCCAAGGAGTCCCCCCCAAGAGAGGTTAGTGTATCTAGTGCATTATGGGTATTTTCATCTCTCAAGCTACAATATGTCCTTTCGGGGGGAGAGGGGGTGGCAGTCATAGCCTTGGGTGTTTTTTGGTGATTCTCAGCCAGACACCAGACTGACAGATATAACTAAGGGGACGGCAAACCTCCAGCTGTAGAAGCTTTATTGCATAAAACACTGATGATTTTCCTTCTGAATGCAACATCTGCATGACATGACCTTCAACTGCGGCTGAGGCCGTGTGGTCGCCATCCTGCTCCGCAAACATAGTGGCGTTTTGAGACAAAGGGATGGGCAATACTGGAATACAGATGAAATACGAAACACGTGAGGACGAGGGGGGGTGGGAGGAGGTTAAAAAAAAAAAAAAAAAAACCAACAGCGTCAGTTTAACACAACATAAAAATTAACGAGAAAATTACCGAGAAGCATTAGAATCTCCCTGGGAACCGGTCTAACAACCACAGTGCACCATTGCAGGTCAAGTGAAAACAGTTTCTTTTTTGTGGAAATATCCACCAAATATAATATTAATACTGATATTAATATCATATTTCACGTAAAATCACTGCAACATTAGTATGCTTGCATGTTTTATAATGCATATGAATGTCAAATGGTTGGCATTGGCTAGTACTGAATACATTACGCACATTGAAAATGGACAGGAATAAAAGAACCAGACGACTGGGATTTCGCACAATACCTCTGCATTCTACGTGCATATATACGCGGGGCATATATGCCGATACAATGCAGTACACGTCATACAATGAGTGGCTGAATAACAATGTTAAACTTGCCCCTGCAAAAACAAAAAAAAACAAAACAAAAAACTCAATGGGGCCTCTCTGAAGATCACCTCTTCAGCTGACTGGACTATATACTGAAAGCTTTGTGTCATACGGGAGTACAAAAAAACGTTCACCTGGACAGGTAGAAAGAGCGTGACACACAGCTGTGGCCTGGAGCAGTGACCACTGACCCCGCCCCCCGCTGCCACGCCATCCCCCCCCCCCCCCACCCGAATCCCTCACCCTCGGTCCTGTTAATTCCAGATTCTGAGGAAACTGTCCCAAGAGCCGGTGGCAACAGCCATTCCATCATCCGTTACCCCTAAACAGCTGACACGGTTATCGTGACCAGCCAGGACACCTAGGGGGCAAGAAGGCGGCCATTAGACAAAGACATTGGAGGAGGAAAAGGAGTGTACAATAAACAGCCACCTCATTGGTTAAAAAAAAAAGCCTACTGTCCAAGGTGAGGATGAGGAACCAGACCCCCCCCCCCCGCCGCCGATACTGACCTGCACGCTCTCCTTTCAGCGTGTCCCAGACGTTGCAGTTGAAGTCGTCGTATCCGGCCAGCAGGAGGCGCCCGCTCTTGGAGAAGGCCACGGAGGTGATGCCGCAGATGATGTTGTCGTGGGAGTACATCATGAGCTCCTGGTCCGCGCGCAGGTCGAACAGCCTGCAGGTGGCGTCGTCCGAGCCCGTGGCGAAGGCGTTCCCGTTGGGGAAGAACTGGGGGAGGAGCCCGAGGTGAAAGGTCCTTCAGAGACAGCACTATGTCCTCAGTTAATCCAAAGACCTTCTCCAACCTAGCGGCGTAACTTGTTTCCACATGAATAAGTCATGATGTCCCAATACAGAGGCTGCAGGCACTATTTCCAGTTCAGGCTAATCAAACCCCCACTCCACATGATTATGTGGGACTGGCTGTGATGATAGACTGGCATGAATCCCCCCCCCCCCCCATCTTCTGGCATACTCACAGTCACCGCGTTGATGTCGGACACGTGGCCGATGAAAGACTGCCTGCACATGCCGTCCCGGACGTCCCACAGCTTGGCGGAGGCGTCACAGGCCCCCGACACGAAGGTCTTAAAGTCAGGGCTCAGGGACAGGCTCATGACGTCGCCGCTGTGGCCCGTGAAGGTGGTCGACTGCTGGCCCGTCTCGATGTCCCATAATGCACTTCGGGGCACAATGCGGTAGGTCGTCAGCAAGGCATAGTAAGAAACCGGTCTCCTCTTATGAAACATAAACAGGTCCCCCTTGCGGGAAGTACCCAGACTCACCAGGTGGTGTCCCCAGAGCTGGTAACTATCTGATTGTCGTCCAGAAAACGGCAGCAGGACAGATATCCTGAAAACGCACAAGGCAGGACCGTCATGTTACTTGTACATAAACACTAAGAATTACAACAGGATATATGGTAGGTACGCACTACTTCAGTGAAAAAAGTACTTTATTTCAAAGGTATAATTAGGAAAGTCATTAAATTCTTTCGGGGCACTGATCCGCGGAAAAAGAACATTTTTATCATATTTTTCCTGCATCGGTTCTGGAAGCTCCAGCTGCTAATGGTTCTGATTATCAGCCACTCAAACCCATAGCTGGACAACGTCCCATTCACATCCTGCAAAAACCATTCACAATGTGCCAAGCCCTATAATTTAATTACAATATCGCTAATGCGCTTACGGATTTGCTACTGTTACATTTCCTTAATGCCGCTTAAGTCTCGTCATGGCAGGAAGCGACACCCATCGGGCAGCTAAAACTGGCTCATCTGAACGAGTGCCCATTACAGCTCGTACGGATCAGCCAATCACATCACATCCGTCAGACGCAGAAACCTGGTCCAAACATGCGTGATAAATTTACTTAAAGGTTGTGCAGATTACAGAGCTTTGCATTCCATGCTGCAATGCAACATAATACATTGATTCGACTAGATGAGCTAATTATAGAGGGCAATACCTACACACCACAACACCATCATCATCATCATCATCCATCAGAACTGAAGAGGCCCGCTGCCCGTTACCTGTGTGCCCTGGAAGCTCCCGCGTGACCCTCACGTTGCCCTCCCGCGTCTTCAAGCTGTAGATGGAGCAGATGTTGTCCAGGCCCCCGCAGGCCACGTAGTTTCCGGAAGGCGCGTAGGCACACGTCATCACCCAAGAGGAGCGCAGTGGGATGGCGTGCACCTAGAGGACAGCCAACAGGCTGCGTTGGCCAGCCGGACTCTGGAGGGAGGCTCTCGCACCCGAGGCCTTGCGAAAACTGAACCCAGAAACCAGGGCCTTTCCTCGAACGTGTGTAAAATGTAAAAATGCAACCCGAGTGGATGCTGGCCAAAGCATCAAGCAGGTCCCAAATCCTACACCTGGGGGGCTAGTTAATATGCAGGGCTTTGTGAGAGCTACACACTTCATCATTTTCATAGCTAATTAATCTCCAATGTGTGGAGATTATAGTCAGACTGAAGAGAGCTGCAGAATCTGTCCAAATCCAGTACTGCTTTCGCTACTGTGGACTACGGCAAACTATGTCGAGTGGTACCCCCACCTTATTCGTCGTGTAGCTGTCCCAGATAATAAGTTTTCCATCCTGAGAGGCGCTGACGAGGAGCCTAAGGGTTCGACAGACACACAAACACATTTCTCATGGTGCATTTCAGTTCACATGACAAACACCGACTATGCCACGTACAAGGCACTGGTGCCATGTAATTAACTCTTTTGTAACGTGGGTCAGGGTTTCAGTTGAGTTTCACAGACAACACGAGGTTCCTCATTGGCCGAAAAGGCCTGCCAGCACCGCCCACCATGGTGGGAGATTCTGAATATCAAAGCCTGGACTGCAAGCCTTTCCAAGAACCCATCCAGTTATCTGAGAGGCCCTCATATCCTCTTGAAGTGTGTTTTTGGAATGGTCTGCTTTCAGCTATTTGTGGAATGGAAAATAGTAGCCTGCGTGTAATGAGATATCATTTGTTATCCTATTTGCAGCATGTTTAAAAACGTCCAATAAGCTTGAAGTCGCAAGTTCCAAGATCAGACTATAAGTCACCTGACATACTGACCTGGAGTCAGAGCCCCAGTGCATGGCGTAGATTTTGGCCAGGTGACCTCGAAGGGTGCGCCTTGTCCGCATCTGAATCCTCCCAACTGAGTCCAGACCGGCGGTGATCTGCAGGCAGGAGAAACAAAGCTTTGGTAAAACCACACTCCAGATGCCAGGGGGCATCGTTCCCAATCAATAATTAATTCAAATTTAGCCATTCCTTCGAGATGCCTCTCTGGCCAGTACATGCCTTTAAATATTTCAGCATGCTCTAAGTGTAGTCGTGTCACAGGAGCCGGCCGGCGCGGAGCGACCCTGCGCCCCACACCTTTGCCAATGCTCAAACATCGGCGGCTGCAGATCCCATCAAATCCCCAGCCAAAGAAAGCGAGTTCCATGGCCCGCACATACCTGAGAGAGGGTGGAATCACTGCAAGCTTTCCGTGCATCCTGGAGAAGGAGGGAAATGGGTTAAGCATGCAAGTGTCCCCAGAATGACAAATGTTAAAAGCCTTTATTTTAACAGAACAAGCGTCAAGTAATTCAGTCGTGTTCCAATTCTGCATATAGGTGATATGCAGCAATGCATCATGGGAGTTTTACTTATACAAATGTTCTGAGGGCAGAATGAAAAATGATTGGTTCTCTTTCTGAACTGATCAGATTGTAGAGGAGGTGAGATCAAGACTCCTAATTGATTGGTCCCGCCTCCTCTAGTTACTTGGACCCACCTCCTCTACAATCTGATTGGTTCTATCTCTGAACCAAACATTTTTCCTACAGCCCTCAGAACATTTTTGCGTAAGTAAAACTCCCATGAGCGTATCATTAGCAGCAGTACAAAGGAAAACATCCTAGAGGAAGTGTGTGAAGAGCAAGTAGCAGCATATCAACAGATTTTTTTATTCTTGTAACCCAGAAAGGCATTAGGTTATAGCACTGGAAAACTGGCCATGTCAATGAACTACTAGGAAAAAAATCCCGGATTAAATAACCCCCAGCATTTATCTCCCAGCAAGAAAGTCCTCATTATAAGAGACCAGAATTTCTCAGTTATCGCTTCTGATGTTCTGCAGCAGACCTGCCACGTGCATCAGGCAGTCGGCATGACGTGCAGCCGGCGGAGACACACAGACATGTCACGTTTGCCCTCATGAGGCACGCAGCGCAGCGATCCGCGAAGCATGATGAACTGCAGCTATGTTCATTTAATTAGAAGATGTTATTTGCCCTAGATAATCACATTTTGAAACAGAGCTCATCACCTACAAAACCAAAAACAGTTCGCTTAGACGTCGGTCAATAGAGCGATCGAAGTTCGTTTGTGGCCTGGAATGGATGCTACTGTGAGTGTTAGGTGATCCACTCCATGACAATCCCACAGACAGATTATGGGTGGAGATGGTGTCAATCTTGCAACAGAACTAAATATCTGCAATGCTCTTTCAGAGGGGCGGGTGTTTATTCCACGGAACCGCCCCCGCCCCCATCTTACTTTGATTTGGTTCCGCAGTTGCTCCGCCTCCTGTCGTAACTGTTCCAGTTCGCTCATTGTCCCTTTCTGTTTTGATCAGTCCGCAAACCAGCTGACACCTGTGACACAGAGAGGCAGATACTTCAGAGGAGAGGAAGGGGACAAGCAAAAACATCCCAAAGGAACAGAAACAATCCTGTTTGTCTGACATTTTAACAAAGGGTAACAAAAAGCTCAGCTATTTATGACATGACACACAGCTCTTCATCCCTGTTCATAAGAAAAGGGAAACAAGGTTAAACATATCAACAAGACATTGCATCACAAAGCCAACTAATAGTTAATGTTCCATTCAGTCACCATACTCAGAATCCTACTGTTTGATGCTCTCTGTATACAATGAAAATGTGACCATTCAAGACAATAAACTAAGTCACTTTCACCTTTGGGGCAAAAAAAAACACACGAGGGATCAAGGCTGTGTTTTGGTCAGTTGTGTTTCAGATTAAGTGGGAAACGAAGCAGTTCCTTTAGCTTTAACAGTGGAGGAATGTACAGCATGTGACCTAAATTCAAGGCCTCGAGGGGGAGAAAGAGAGGCTAGTAGGTGGGGCATTCTTCTGCCAGACAAGTGCTTGCCAATATTAAAAGACATCGAACACTACTGGAAATAACTCATGGAGTTTGAGCGGGCATCTGTAGACATTATTTTTGCTGCCTCTTCTGACGAGGGGGGCCGACTGACCTTCCCGCAGCTTGCCAAAGCTGGGAGGGCACTGGGGTCGTCAGCCTGGGCCCAAAGGCATCTGGCGGGGGAGGGGGGGTGTTGAGGAATGTGTGGCAGTGCGCTCTCTGGCTTCCCAGTGACGCACACCTCCCTATGGAGCCTGTCTGACATCAGCTGTGGGCTCTGAGACTGAAGCGGGGTTTTCTCCTGCTTAACTGATTCCGAGCGGAAGGCCAGTAGGGCCAAGCCCACAAGCTGACTAAAATCATCACTGCCGGCCTAAAGTTCATGGCCAACAACATTAATTAGTCATCAACTGCCCTATTTACTTCATTAGAATACATATTTTACACCTCAGGATCTTCTAACAGAAGAATTTCAAATAACTGCGTAAATGAAAAAAACTTTCATCCATCGTGACTGTACGTTTAGAACAATCATAGAATCACCATTTCAGCAGTTCTCAAATTACCTGAGGCCTGTTCCTCAAAAAAATTAAATAAAATAAAAAAAATCACTGCATTTTCTCCATGTTCCCAAGACCAAACAAGCGCCTTGAAAAGTTGTGTTTTCCACAAATCAGCTCCTAGCAGCTGCCATTACGGCATGTAATTTTTTTCTAGCCTGCTTTTTCCATGTCTTCTGCATGTCATCCCCACCCATCAAATTACAGTTTTAAATGAACGGGTCAAGTTCATATGAAAACCCTTCAGAAAAAAAAAGAAAAATGATGCTCTGGTCAGTATTACTCAAACACACATTTCACACTCTTACACATTGGAAAGACTTTTGGTGAAGGCACTGGAAAACTGCCCATGCCAGCGAAAAACCCTTATACCAAAACGAATGTGTTTTAACTTTACACCCACACAAAAACTACTTTTTAAAGATGTATTGTACACAAATGGCACTGACAAGTTAGTTCACAGGGTGAAAACGTGCTTTCCTGTGAAGATGCCGCGGAGATAAGATGGGCGGCTGCGACATGAGGAAGGCTGCACTCTCCCAACACACAGCTGGCATGAGCGGCATGAGGCGGTGCTGTTTGGCACAAGCCACCAGGAGCCACACGCTGCCAGATTCTATTGTGACAGATGCGGGCAGGTCATACGACCATAGCCTTGACAAATGCGCAGCCCAAATTCGCCCAGTAAAACATCAAGCATGATATATTTGTTTTAAAAAAAAACAGCTCTAAATAAAAAGCATGAGCTAAGGCAATAAAATAATCCACCACCACAAAAAACATCCTGAACGGTCATACAGATGGACGGTTTATGGCAACTGCTTTGGATGGTCAATAATTTGCAAATGACTTAAGCATGATCAATAAAACCAAATTTCCAAGATAGCTAGTAATTGGTAAATTTATCAAGCTACAGCCAAAATAGTAAACTAACTATCATGCAGCCATCTAAGGGGTATATAATAAGACACAAAATCCAAACAAAAACTTGTTAACCAGTAATTCCCCATCAGTGCCTAAAACTGAACATCTTCAGGTGCTTACACATGGATCCAGCAGTAGGATGCTACTTGTCATATCCATTTACAGTCTAAAAGCAAGCCACCCTAACAGGTCCATTCACCACAGACATTGCTCCCCATTACCCAGTAACACTGTACTCCTCCCTGTTCTCCCGGGGTGGGGGGGGGGGTTGGGTGTGACCTTCCACAAATGGGTCATGCTGTTTTTGTTCCTTTCTGTTGAAGCTTCAGAGATGTGATGCCCTTTGCTTTAAGCACCACTGCGAAAACAGGAAGCAAGTCACCCCCCCCCCCCCCAACATCGGAGAGAAACACAGAAAAAACCAAATCATTCACTGCAATCTGCCTGCTCCCCTCACACCTGTGCCACACCTCTAGGGGCTGAATCAGAATCTGGGTTTGAGGGAAGGGGAGCTGCCACGCACTCAAACCGATTCAAATTTCCATGTGAAAATATGAAACGCTGAATATGCTATATGATTGAAATTAGTCAATGAAACAAACTGCAGACGCGTACACCTAGAACTCACAACAGAGGGCAGCACAATCCTCAGAGTGACAAGACTGAAAAGTCCAACACACTCATTTACGCCAAGACCAAACCTGGTCCCGGAACAGTCTGATTTCACCTCACCTTCAGATGAAGAGTCATGTGAGATGAGATTACAGCGGTCAACTATTTAACTTAATCACCATTTATTATGTTTATCATTACTTCATTAACGTTGGGGAAATGCTACACAACTTGGTCCAGTAGGGAACAAATTACATTAGAATTTTAAGGGATGACTGCAGAGCTTAACAGTGTTTTACAAAAATAGTTCAAAAACCCCAATAGAATATATTTTTTTAGGTTTTCCATTAAGTCTGCACTTCTGTTCATCTACAAATATCACATTTACATTAAGTACGTGATATATGATGCTGGAACGTAAATGGATTTAAATTCAGTTTGTGCTATTGTATAAAAAATGGGTTGCTCATTAGCATTAAGACAATTTTCATATTCTATTTATTTGCAGGTTTGAAACAATCGTTCCAAAAATCCCAGTCCATGGGACAAAAATAATGCAAGACAACTATAATCCATTAAATTCTTAGATCACTCACACACACAACTATGGCATGGAAAGACCCTCCCATTCACATTTCATTATAGATCAGTTAGCAACCAGAAACAAGTTTTTAAAAAACCCTTAAACATCCTGTACAGCTGGGACATTCCAATAATGATAGACACATCACCTTATCCCCTTGTGAAACTATGCGGCACCTATACAAATTTCCTCATATTTAACAAGAAACCTTCCTTGAAGGCACTTGTCCATAAATTACTCACTGTTGGAGCCCACGCAATTTAACTTTGGTTGTTCCATAGTACTTTCTGGTCAACACCTCACTACCCCAGAGCCTACTTATGCAATAACTAATGTGAATATTCCATCTCGGACTCACCTTCAGGCTGTCCTGGGAGATCATTTTCAGTTTCCCTGGCCAATTAGCAGTTAATAACTGCCAATTTCACATTTAATCAAAAGTTAAAAGTGTATATATATGAAGCCTTATTGTAAACGTTAATAAACAAATAAATAAATTTAATTTCGCCAGTTCTTCCCATGGATGAAGAACTAATGAAACACGTTTTAAACACTTAAAAGTCGTGATTTACATCATGTCGAATTAACGGCTAATGGCAAAGACAAGTGAACATATTTGGGGTATCTCTACCAACTAATCGACATGTACAAAGCAGTACATTACAATGAACTGTGTAGCGTGACCCGTTAATAATATTGTTTTTCTGGTTTCCAAAAAGATTTTGCAATCAATTAAAAGACCGTCAATGATAGCAAACTGCTATTAAAAGCTTTGCTCTAATCAAAATCCAAGGTGGACTTGAGACGGGAACGAAAATGACCTCGTGGCGCGTATAACAGGGAATTTCAATAAGACATGCGTACCATAAATAACATATGTAACATATCTAAACAAGGCGAATAACAAGGTAACGCATATCAAGGGAGTCCACTTAACGTCACCAGAGTAATGTGGCAAACTGAGTAAATTGCAAAATGAATTTGTCAGCAACCTTGAAAGTCGTGTTATGGTGAGCAGTGTTAACTAACTAGTGCGCCTGACTAGTTTAGTTCATTAACTGCTCCGACTTATGCACTTGAGTACCTACTAGTAGGCTACGTGCTAATACCCACAGCCAGACTGGACCACTTACTTTACCGTCTGACAAGACAGACAGCTCTGTTTTAACTCTTTTAAGACTAACTAGCGCATAAAACGATCACAATATTAAGACATCAAGCACTACCAAAGAGAAATACGAAGCTGTGGTAACTCCACCAGCCGCCAATCAGTTAGTTTTCTGCGAACGATTAAGCTAGTTTACTTAGCTAATATTGCCTGCAAGACAACGTTACGGCCAGATGTTTCCGAAAACTTCTCCCACAATCACGTTCTCTTTGCCCATAGAAATGCAGCAGAAATTAACGTGAACATAGTCGATACAATTCAGGCAATAATCAAGTGAAAGATAAGCTAAGCCCGAATAACATCAAGATACGACGAAGAAACACGTTAGCTAGCTACCTAGCAAGATACGTACCTGAACTGTGCTTTGGACAGTCCCCTTTCTCTGCTTTTCCGACTTGTAGATTATATATCCACTTTCAAATTCTACACATGGTCCGCGAAAAAGAAAATTGAAAAAAATATACTGCAGGAGATATTATGAGGGAAACTTGCAGGTTAACAGGTGCTGCCAGCAAAGTAAGAGGACTTGACTTAGTCTTCGCCCGAAATCACCACACCCATACAGAAACTGGGAACATGGCAACAGTTTGTACGAGGGGTGTCATCCCCAGCATGACGTTTTACGAGAATAACAGTTTGCTCTTTAAACTAAGTGTTGGTTTATGAGCACAAAAGCTGGAATAGCAACATGTGCTCGTTTAATTTTTTTCATTGTCTTTGTAACAGAAGGTACAATAATTCCTCTAAAACAAATTTATTTAACCTACTTGTATACATGGTATAGTCTGTCAGCCGCCTCATCGAAACGAAAGCAAACAGGAAAACAGGAAACGTACGTAATAGCTGCTTAATACAAATTACAGTGCTTGCATATTCAGACGTATTGCATTTTTTAATAAAAAAGTGTATCATTTGATTAGCATTTAAAATGTTTGTTTTCAAGAAACACCGAAAATAATAGTGTTATTTCGCAATCACACACACCTACAGAGTAATGGAACATCCTAACAGTGTTGCCCTAACATCAACAATGAAAATGATTTAAAGGGGACGACCGTCGACTTATATCCTTATGTTATTCGTCAGTGAATTGTCGATGTAAATGTCACATTTTGTTGAATCACCCTGTTCCTGTTGGGTCGGGGTTGTTGGAGCCTATCCCAGGCAGCATAGGGCGCAAGGCTGGGGTACACCCTGGGCGGGATGCCAGTCCATCACAGGGCACAATGGCGCGCACACACACACACACACACACACTCTGAAATGTCGGGAGAAACCCTGTGCAGCATGGGAAGCACATGCAAATTCCACACACTCGAGGTAGGTGGGATTTGAACCCCCAGCGGTGGAAGTGTGAGATAAAAGTGATAACCACTGAACCGCAGCAAATGGGAATGTAATGAAAGCTGATTTTATACATATGCCGGATTATTCAGTAATATCCATAATTACAGTATCTAAGCTATTTTATTCTCATAAATAAAAAATATTGATCTACAGTGCACTGTACCCTACCCTGTACCATGTACTGTGAAAACCACCTTATAGTACCATTTAACTTCATTCTGTTGAATACTTACACAGTAACCTTCCAAACCTTAAAATAGCAATTACTGAGCCACTTTCAGTATATTGTGCCTGTGAAATTAAAACTGCATTTTTGAGCAAGCCAATAAACATTTGAATTCTTATGTGGTTCACTACTTTATTTAACTTTGTATAGTAAGTTAATGAAGGCTATCCTCTTGCAACTCCAGCTGCTGAGAGGACAGGAGGTAATATTAATTAACACTATGGGTTGCACATCCTAGAGGAAGATTGTGGTTTATGAATTAAAAATAACACGAGTCTGTCAGAACAGACAGCCATCTAAATCAACCCTCGCTGAAATTCCGGAATCTGCAATACCTTCATTGTCAACCTCTAGATATCATTTTACGATCAGAGATGAACTTGTGCATCATTCCTTCACTCGTGGCGCTGGTTCCACTGCTGATGTGACGTGTTGTGTTCTGGCTTGATCTTGATTATGTTTTTTACCGTTATTTTTTAGGGAAACAATCATTTACCAAATAGCTTCCTGTACTGTGATTTGTATGATTTCAAATGGAGTTACATGATTGAATATTTCCCATTTGGATGTAAATATTTTATCACCACTCATAAGTACTTATTTTGAAATCCACTATGAGGTAATTGCCTTGGATCATTACTGAAACCAGTTTACCACATCAGTACTTACAATCAATAAAGTTCCTTAAAAACATCACTTACTGGAAAGAAACAGACAGACTCTTGTCTGCTTTAGAAGGATTAGTAAGCAAATGGGGCCTTAAAATAGGGTTTTTTTTCACTCTGTTAGGAACTCTTGAATTGTTAATGTGAACAGTGGGAAAGGCTTTCCCTTATCTCTGCAAGACCCACAATCAATGGGAAGAAGATGAAAGTCACACATCCGCAGGTTTCCTTTTCAAATGGCACAGGGGTGAGACTCATTTTATTTTAATTCACAGACAGTAAGGCCAAAAAAAAAAATCCTGTCCCATTTTCTGACTGAAAACCGCACGGGTTTGGATAGAATTTGTTTGGAAATTAAACCACTTTTTTTCCCAAGGTTGTTCCTTAAAAATACCTTAGAGGCAAACAATGTATAATTAACAAGATGACATACAAACCTACATACAGTATAAACCCAGGAGACTGGGAGAGGATGAGCACGCCTTGTGCTCAGCAGCTTAATAAAGTGGTTCAATGGACCTCATTGTCAACCTGAAATCATATTTAAGAAAGTAACAACTGTGAGGTTGTGGTCTGGCCTATTCATTCATTGTAACATGGTAACCTTTTTATAATCATTAATATGTTGCAGACAATTATTAAATGCTGCCACGTAAATGTTGTTCAAAACTTTCAGCTTTTTGTCAAATCATGTCATCATCATGAAGTGTCAAATAAATAAAACAATTCACATCTTTTAAAATTGTATTATGTTTTCATATTTACAAATTTCCATAACACCTACATATTATAGAACATTTCTTCTGGTAACACAGTAATACTTCTTTGGTCATTTTTTTTCTGCAGTAATGAATGACATACAAAACATTCTCCCTTTGTGCTTATCATGCTCTTAACAAAATATCACCCAAAATCTTTTACATAGCAACATGCAGCTAATTGTCACCATGGTAACAACACATCATTCACATTGTTATGCTGGAGAGAATCTAGCATGTAAATAAATGTAAATGTAGGCCGCATGTATTGAAAATTTACATTAACAAAAACATGAACATTGAATACAACACAAAACAAACACTAACCCATTTTTAGTCCAAGTGGTTAGCAATTTTAAATTCATTTAACAAAAGATAATTTGTTAAACATTGTATCTTAAACAGTCTTAAAAAAATCTATCTATCTTGGCAGATATAGATCTATATATAGGTTATGCTATTTGTATTTGACTGTATCTACTATTAAAATGTACTCAAAGAGTTAAATATTTATTAAACAATAAAAAAAAACAATGTGTGAAATTTGATATTGATGACAGTCTGACAAATTAAATATGCCTTCAAGGGTTAGGGAAAGTCAAGGTGCACTAGAATCTAGAGCATAGCTAGATGACTTCCTTTCTATAAAAAAGGACTAAATTAACCAAGCAACTACAACTCTGGCCAAACTCTGGTAACCTTCCAAACCTTGAAATGACAATAACTGAGCAACTTTGATTATATTGTGCCAGTGAAATTTAAACTGTAGCCAGGAAGAGTTAGTTGAATCAAGCTTGCCGGTAGATTTCTTAAACAATCAAAACAACTTGGTTTCTTAAAACAGACACAGAGGACGCTATAAATATCGGCTTAGTAGCTATATGCATGCATCTAAATTGTCTCGCCATTGCTCGCTGTCCGATAACCTTTGCGGCACACGCAGCTGTTAAATTTGCTCAGGTCCACAAAGCACACTTTCCATTGTTTAAATGTCACGTTGTAAAATGAGACCCTCTAAGGGTGGAGATTTCACTACATGAATAATTCCATGATTATGTCTCATAATAATATCTGCATCAAAATGATATCCCTGGATTTCCTGTAGCTTGGGTGTTGCTACAGGACTGAGCTGCTCCTATTGATTGTAGATAGGATGGTTCCACAGGAACATGGAACACTTAACGGGCCAGGGTACCATCACACCAGAACCCATCACATTCGTGTCAGGAACCATGTTCCATGCAGATTACTGCCATAAGTCTTTTTATTTTGAACTGGCCATCTTTACTATATTAAGTGTTTAATCAGCTCTTTAACACAAATGTAAAAATAATATTAATGATTCTTTCTAACTCAAACCCAATTGTACTTAAAAAAAAATCACAAACAAAGGGTGCACATTAACCCCAACCTTAAGAAATATAACTGAAATTTCCAGTCTCAAACACTGGACAATAAATAAAAATAAAAATAAATAATATATATATATATATATATATATATATATATATATATATATATATATATATATTCATGTATAATTAATTATTCATTATTTGCAATTATTTGATTTCTTATACATAATATCATTTTGTTAAAATCAATAACTGTGATGTGCTTACAACTGAAATCACACTGAAAGCCAAAATAGCAAAAAAAAAAAAAAAAAAAACTCTTATGTAACATATGTATCCCCTTGGGTGGTTTTCTGTTGCCTAGGAAACCCCAACAAAGACGTCAAGAATGTAGGAAGGACAAGCTACAGAAAAGTGGGCTACTCTTCGTAAAGGATGCTGTTGCTCACAGAACTTTCATTTTAGGGGATTAAAGACAGTAGTTTGTTGAGCTCTCCAGTTGTCTCTCTCTCCCACAAAGGTGAGAATCCAATACCTACATGTTCCTTTGGCACTGGCTGGCCCAGTTCCCATCCTCAGTACCTGCTCCTTCCTAATTATGGCAACCACTGGCATTAAGGTTGGGCACAAATTCAGTGGCCTTGGTACTCAAGCTGAACTCTCCCAGGAAAATGTCCGGTTCCATAAAGGGGTCAACATTTTAAGTTGCTTTGGAAGAAAATGTCAGCCTAAGCAGCTAGATATAAATCTACTACAGCTGATTAAATGTTTACCTAATAACCAGCATTCAGCAGCTGTACTTGAACTGAGCGTTTGCCCTAAAGTTCTATAATTCACGTAGTGCTCTGTAGCTCTCATTTACAAACATTTAGATAATGGCATGGGAATATTATTTTAAAATAACCTATTTTATGGTTAGGGTTATTATTTTTAATTTAGTAATTAAAATATCTTTCAAGATTTCAGATATCAGAACCATATATATGTATATACAGTATATTGAATTATATATTGGGTTATTCATAAACAGATTTGTTTTACAAAACAATCAGTTCTTTTTCATATTTAAAGTATCAGATATGAAATGTAAAAAAAAGAATCACAGCAGTAGAAATAATTAAAAAAAACAATAATTACTTATATCCACAAACTTTGCATTATCCAAAATATATAAAAAGCATTGTGAAACAGTTGAATTTGCTTGGAATGTTCAAACAGAATC